TGGAGAATTAACCTCTGAAGCCAATTGGCTGTATGGAATGACACATAACCAAAATTCTCATTTCAATCATTGGTATAGGCTATGGATTTATTTTCAGATGAACTTTGCTCAATTGTATCTTTCAAGGAATTTGTCAATTTTCTCAAAGTTGGATGTATTCCTTAGAAGAGGATCTTAGTAACACAAACATGAGACACAATACCTGGACCATAACCCCCAAATCATGGTTACTATTTAGAACAGAGAGAAAATCTGGCTGAGAAATCCAGTCATCATGCACATTACGTAAATGAAACAATTGCCAAAAACGGTTCCATGACATTCTACCACGTCTCAGAGATGGGCACTCATGGTTTCAACAAGACGCATTCTGTGCCATTTAGACCTGTACTCATGAGGCCATGGGGTTGTGAAGCATGGCACGTGGGCTGTACTCAGTTGCTGATCTAAAGGTTGGTAGTTCAAGCCTACCCAGGGTGTTAGGGAAAAGACCTGGAAATTTACTTCTATAAAAATTGCACCCATGAAAATCCTAGAGTATGTCCACTCTGGAACATGGGATCTCCATATGTCAGAAGTGACATGAAGGCAGCGAGCTTGGCTTTTGGTTATGCAGCTCCGGATTCCTGCTGGCCAAACAAAAAAGCTGGACATTGAGTCCACCTTGAGACGTGACTGAAGAAAGGGCGAGAGGTGACTCTGAAAAAAGCAGCCGCAACAACCTTATGCAGCAAGTTCAGTTCTGCTCAAACATCCGGGGTCACCAGGAGTGAAGACCGACTCGCCGTGGCTCTACTGCGGGAGCCAGGAGAAAGGCGCGCCTAATGTGCAGGACGTGGGCATAGGCTGTGACACTTCGCAGGGATGCCCGAGGGGCTTGAGCTCACCACTGAAGATGGAAAAGGAGAGTCCGTGTGTCCTGCACAAGTGCTTCCACGGTGGAGAAAAGCCAGGCCATGAAGGACACGAAGATGTTTTAAGAATGATGGACACGGTACAACAGGGAAGTGACAGATGATAAAGTTGCAAAAGTGGAAACTTTCGAGTGCAGCAGCTAAGTGTACGGATTCCAGAGCAGGTCCCGAGAGATACATGTAGGAAGATTCTGCTGAACTGGGGCTTTCTCAGGGTCTCCATGATGCAATCTCATTTTTGGTTTGCACCCTCCTTTCTAGGATGCATTCCACATTGATTGCCCACGATGTACCAGGCATTTAAATATGTAGTGATGAATAAAACACAGTCTCTGCTTAAGAAAAAGATTACAATCCAGTAGAATGGAGGATTCCGAGTTAAATTAAGACTTCTTTAGGATACTTAACTATGACCTTCTACTCCACTCCCACGCCCCACCTCAGATGAAGCTGGAAGGATAACCGTCTACCACCTTTTATCTGAAGGAAGCATACTGACATATTGAGAACTATTTTACAGTTCCAGCCACATCTGTAAGTCAATGTTCTGAACCAGTCTCAATGACTGCCATCAGTTGTGATGTGGGTTGGGTGTATTTTGACACTACGAATACACCAGCAGAGTGCTACACAGAGTAATTCAAGCACCCCATCTAGAGACCAGCACCCGTGGTCACAGAGCATCCACCGAGGGTCCCTCTCTGAGTGTGCACTACAAAACTCACTCCATGTCCGTGCCAAAGGACTACGTAAGTTCTCATAGAGCAATGTGAAGAGAATGACTAGAGTTTTTTCTTTAAAGTAGAACAGCTACCCAAATGGAAAGACCTAATAAACATCACAGACTGGGAAAAAACCAACAAAACAAGCTGCAAACTCCATGTAGAGCATGCTATCCCTGGTGTAAAAACCCAACAAAACAAACCCTGCCGCAGCACAGCGTATTTAAACAGATGCGCTTAGAAGGAAATTTCTGAACACGTTCACACCTGCCAACTATTTGGGGGGGAGGGCAGAGTAGAGGTGCATATGAATGGAGTGTGGTCAAAAAAGAGTTAGCTATCTCTGTTACGTTTTCATTTTTTGGATAAGATTCTTTCAAGTACTACTTGTATAATTAAAGCATAAACCATTGAAAGGTAATTTGGGCAGAATTTAGGTTATCTTTATAAAATTATTCCTGTATATTTCTTTATTAATATTACTTGCATCCTGATATGTGGATAGGAGATTACAATTACTCGACTACAGATACTTTCAAATAACTCAAAGTCTAACTTATCTACTTGAAACAGGAATTAAGAGACAGTTCAAAGCTGCAGTAATAATCATTAGAATACTTAAAAAGTTGTGATTTTTAGTTACCTTTTAAATTTCCCATGAGTATGCATATAACCCACTATCAAAAACAAATAGGAACCAGTTCACCTTTCTTACCCTAAGGATAACTCATGGTGAATCCATAAGCCATCATACTGAGTAAACAGTACGCATCCGCCAATGAAGCGGCTTGTTTAAGAGACTAGAAGTGTATTATTAATAACTTTGGTTTCCGAGTCCCGCTAAGCACAATATCCTCATAGAAAGTTATCCTATACAAAGGTACACCAGGACATACTATTTTCTCAGGTTTGGCACTTACCAGGGGCTAGGTCCTGTGCTAAATGCTTAGCATACCTTATTTCCATTGCTTCTCACAGCATTCCTATAAACCCAAACCCCACTGCCAAGCCACTGTGACCCTATGTACAACAGAATGAAACACTGCCCAGCCCCGTGCCATTCTCACAATTGTGAGAAGAGTGCCCCCCCCACCAGTTCTTCTGGTAGTCCATAGTACTTTCAACGCTCTTTACATAATTAAACCATTAATTCTTCATTGGTCTTCCTTAATTATTGTCCAACTTTCATGTGTCTATGAGACAACTGAAAACGCCACGGCTTGGGCCAGGCACACCTTAGTCCTCACAGTGACAGACTTGCTCTTCACACTTCAAAGAAGTCTTGAGCAGCAGATCTGGTGCCATGAGAATGAGCTGCGAATCCAGGCAAAATGACATCTTTAATTCTGTCTCGTCTATCACGACATTGACGATTGGTTGGCTGTGAGGACCCTGAGTTGTAATTCATACTGAAGGCTTGCAATCCACCAGCAAGTGCTTCAAGCCCTCCTTGCTCAGCAAGTAAAGTTACCACTTGCACACTGAAGGTTGTTGTTAACCCTTCCTCCAATCAATGCCTCATTCTTCTTCACAGACCAGCTTCTTGGCATATTAGCTCAGTGCAATGCTTTTCCTAAGGTTTTCAGTGGCTAATTCCTCAGAAGCGGATAGCCTATTCCTTCTTTGTAGTCTGTTCTTAGTCTGGAAGCTCTGCTGAAACCGGTTCGTCTGCTGCTATCTGAAATACTGCTGGCATAGCTTCCAGCATCCACCCACCACAGTAAGACAAATTGACAGCAGTGGCTTGAAGGCCTGGTGACCCCACACAGGGTTTCCGAGGCGGTGAGCCTTTACAGGAGCAGACAATCTCACCTGTCTAGCACAGTACTCCTAGACCAAGGGCTGCATGAGAAACGCTTCACTCAATACCTGACAGAGAACAATAAGTGTTGTGTTTATTAGGTATTATTACTGCCCTATTGCCACTCTAAATTCAATCTCACTCTGCCATGGTGGCTTTTTCAGACAACTCACTGACTTCCCTGTGCCAATGGAAGAATCTTCTGTGCATTCCCATTTTCCACTGAATTAAGCTTAAACCCCTTCACTTGACATTCAGAAGCATGTAGTCCATCTCCCATCCTGTCCCTCTGCATTCTACTCTCAAGGCACGCTGGTCTGCTCACAATTCTTAAAACAATCACCTACTTCCATTCCTGTAACTCAGAAACACTCCTGCTTCGATCGCTCATCTCCCCACCCTTGCTTGAAGACTCAAGAAATACATCTTCTCCACCAAGTTGCCTCTGCGGAACTCTCAGGTCCAGTGTTTGCTCAGCTAGGTGGACACCTGTCTTCCATATTATTTGCCCACACTGTCACTGAAAGCCAGGTTTCCATCATTTCTGCATCTCTCCTGTGGCGAGCACAATGTTTTGCATTTAGTTTACACTAAATAATGTAGGAAAATATTACCTTTACTAATAGTGCTACTGGAAACTGTAAGATTTGAAATAAATATGCAATTCATCTTTAATTTCCATTTACTTCATCTAAGTGTGTAATGATTCTATAGGAACTGCACTCCCAGTTTCCCTTTCCAGCCTAACAACAAGAAAGAATCCTTTCAACATTAAACAATGTGGGAAGAAATCAGTGACCTGCTGTGAGGGAGGCAGGCTGGTACTAAATTATGTAAATTAACCCCGGAGAAGGGAATAGAAGGAAGTAGGTATACACACTAAAATAATGGAAGCATCTTTTAAATTCACAAATGAGATTTTAAAATCCCTCTCCTTAATCTTGGATAATTTCTAATTTACCTAAATGGAACTTTAAAATTGAAAAGATAGGTATGATTCCAGGGCAATTCCAACTCTGTAAGACTTTCTTGTCTGGCTTGTTGGGAATAGTAAGTAACAAATGATCAAATACTAGCTATATACTGAACTTGAATGTTAGGATGTGATTGAATTCAGGTAAAAATACTGTATCCTACATTAATTATGTGGTTATGTGACAGTATCAGTAGTCTACTAACAGTTAAGGACCCTGGGGAAGGATAACTAACTTCCATCATCCAATTTTCTACAGCTCTTGAAGAAAGAGTTCTGTCATTCTATTAACTTTTCAATGAAGACTAGAGTATTTTTTAATACCATTTGCAGGTCTTAATTCAGTAGCAATTTCAATTTATTTTCCTTAAACATTAGTTTGCTACTTCTGGCAAACAAGTTAAAATAGAAATATTCAGGCAAAAAGTATGTTAAAGTCAACACCAGCTGCATATTACCTAGATGTTAGGGCTGTTGTTATACTTTTAAGCAAGATGACCAGAGATTTGAGAATGAAGTTGGGGTTGTGGATTTCACAGGGAGGCAGGTACATACACTAAGCTTGACTGATGCCATGGACTTTAGCATACCTGGAAATAGAAAAATTCAAATTGTAGCTGTTCTTGGTTGGCCCACTGCCATTTCTGTAGCTTACAAATTTTTAATTAAGTAACTGCTGTGAGCTCATCTCTACTGGATACTTCTTTTCCAGGGCAGGTCCAGGGACTGGGACTGGAGCCTTGAAAGCAGAAGAGAAACTAGAGTAAACTAGAGGTAGGCAGAACATTCAAGCCACTTGACTAGATAGCATTATGAGATCTAACAGCAGGGCAGTAGTCCCAAGGCTAGCCTCAAAGATCTGGAAGTGGGGTAAGGGGCTCTCCCATTATCAGACGTTTCCATTCCCATTAGTTACTCAGTCATTCTCTGACTCAACCCAACTGTACCCTAGACTCCACTGCTAGAGATTGAAACAGTAGCTTTTATGAAGTTTTAATGGCTATTAGTCTCAACTATCCAATATGGAAACAAAGTAACTCTAGCAACAACTATAAAATAACTACTGAAAAATATCAAACTCTACCTTCCTGAGTAAACTTGTACCCTCCTGCTCCGGTTTCCCTCTTGCCCTGTCATTTCCAACCCTCTCCTGTGTCGCTTCATTCCTACACTCAGTACCCAGAGAGAGGTCTCTGAAGAAATGCTTTAAAGCCATCAAATGGTGAACTGAATTTCAAGTTCCAATTAAAAAAAAATACTTGGTAATTCTGAAAGAGGGAGGCAGAGAACACTCATAAGTTGTGGTTCTTAACCACACTGGAAATTATTTTTTCCATGACCAAAATAGAGTCAACGATTAAAAAGAAAAAAAAAAAGGTTGGTATTAAACACACACACACACACACACAACTTTAAAAAATAATAGGACCTAGACCTGAACATCATGTCCTTATTGTGTATAAGCTGGCACTCTTACAAGTTCTAAGAAAAACTTTTTTTTTCTTACAAAAAAAACCCCCCAAAACCAAACAAACAAATTTAAAAAATCCGAAGGAATGATCCATACTATCAAATGAGGGTAGATAACATGAAATTAGAATAAGACAAAACAAAAAAAAGTAATAGAAGTGTTCTTAGGGGAAAATCTTATTTCCACTATTTGTGATAGAGGAGAGATCCCTGAGAGAGAGACAAAGTTCAAATCCAATGTCAGCATATCCTAGATGGGCACTCCATAGGCGTTTCCCAGCTATGAAACAGGATTTCACTATTCAGCCACCATTACCTGAATTAGCTTGTGCATAGAGAGCATCGAGCACCATGGCACACAGTAGGTATCTGCATTTCCTTTAATACTAACAAATGAAACCCACTGCTCTTTTATACACATGCAGGGATACTTAAGCTGAGACTGATTTTCTTCTTCTTCTTTTTTTTTTTTACTTCCTCCATTAAAAAAATTATTATTAATTGGGAGTTAATACATATATCATTCAATAGTTCAATCACATCAAGCAGTATTGTACAATTGCCACCACAATCCGAAACCGATTTTCACATAAGGAAAAGCCAACAGTTAGGTCACGAGCTTTGGGTGCAATATTCAACTGCATCCTATCAAGAGATGTAATAAATTTATCAACATTGGTTTATTTCTCTAAAAACTTTAAAAAAACCTTGTCATTTTGATTTGGACAAAAGTTTCCCCAACATTTGATTTTACAAGCACGAAAGGCTTGTAAAGAGCGTGCTCAATTATGAGAGTGGAAGAGAGAAAAATATAATCAATTTACATTTAAAGTATAAGAAAATTAGTGGTGAGCAAGACACGGAATTCTCTTCCCTCAACTCAAGTACAAAATGCTGTTAACATAGCTGTTGTTAAAAGGTCACAAACTGAGAAGCCAGGGCTTTATTACAAAATATAAGAGCAATCGATACAAGATATAATTTGGTCTTTAAGTCAGAAATATCTTTGAAGCAATAATTTTCCTTCTACTGATTTCTCATGGTTTCCACACAAGATTATTATTTACCAAATATGGTAAACGGATCAGATTCCACCTTCCCTAACCCAACTGAGGAGTAGAGGTATCACAAGGCACAAAGAACAAGGAAAAAATATTTCCTTATAGTCACTCCAAAGGTATTCATTGCCCTACTTCATTTCAAAAATAGTTTTAAAACTTTTCATGGAAAGTGTTTCATTCAAAGGAGATTGAAATGGATTTATAGATGAAAAGGTTCAATCAAGTCAGAGTAGTGCCCAGAAAGCAAACAAAAACAGCTCCTATTTCACTACCCATATGGTTAGTAGACATTTTGAGTGTAAAGAATAGCAACAAAACCACTTTCTGTAAGCCATTCAGTTTTGAATCTTCTAGCTACCATATGGAAAGCTCATTAATCATAGTAATTTTTCAGTTGATTCTTGGTTTTATCCAAGTTTAACAATATGATGTACAAATCTATTATGAAATGATCCCCTCCTTTTCAATAATAATACCTTGTATTTTGTTTATTCGGTTTGTGTGTGTTTTATTAGTCTAACTGCATTGGCCAACATTCCCAAGACAATATTATTTAACGATAATACTTGGTCAGACCTTTATGGACGCATGATGCTTAAATAGAAATTTAGTATTTCACTAAACAATGAAAAAAGGAATTCTAGTATTTGGTAATTTCTAGTAACCCAATGTTGGTTTCCTAGTTAGATATATCTATAGATACTGAAACATATATATAATTTGCTTTTGTCTAAGAATTTTTTTCCAGGAATAAACGTTAGTGGCTCTTTGTAAAAGAAACTGAGCAGCAGTTTGTCATTTTCCTCCAATGGACTGAAATAGTTACCTGGTGCTTCAAAATTTTTTTTAAATCATCGAAACAAGCTTCTGGGTCTGGTGCTTTTTGTGGAGTGGGCCTGGTTGGGGGGTGGGATCAGACTCTCACTAGGAAGATTAGTCTCATCTTCTGTAGTTCTAGATCCTATCCTCCTAGTCCCCTTTCTGGCTTCCTTGAGAAACCACCTTCCTTTCTTCTCAGTCTAACTTATAAACACGCCCAAGTCTTCTTACTCACCTTAAATATATATCTAAGTGAAAATATGTTCCTCCAATGTATTTCTTTTCCAATTAAGTCTTAAAATTACCCAGCAAGCATTTGCTCACAAAGTTCTTGTTGCTAGGTGCCACTGAGTCAGCTCCAATCCATAGTAACCCCGTGCACCACAGAATAAAATACCGCACGGTCATGTGCCACCCTCACAATTGTTTCTATGCCTGAGCCCATGGAAGCCACCTCTGTGTCAATTCATCTCATGGAGCGCCTTCCTATTTCGCCACCACTCTACTTTACCAAACACGTCCTTCTCCAGAGACAGAAAATGTCTCCCCTGACATTTCCGAAGTATGTTAGATGAAGTCACGCCATTTTTGCCTCTAAGGACATTCTGGTTGTACATCTTCCAACACACATCCGTTTATCCTGTTAGTAGTCCATGGTACTTTCAATATTCTTTTTCCAGCACCACAAATCAATGTCCACCATTCACATGCATATGATACAATAGAAAATACCATGGCTTGGGTCAGGTGCACCTTAGTCCTCAAAGAAATATCCTTGCTTTTCAATACTGTAAAAGTAGTCTTGTGCAGAGGATTATGTCTTTTGATGTCCACTTGCTGCTTCCATGAGCACTGATTGTAGACCCAAGTAAGACAAAATCCTTGACAACGTCAACCTTTTCTCCATTTATTATGATGCTACTTATGGGTCCAGTTGTGAGGGTTCTGGTCTTCTGGGCGTTGAGTTCTAATCCATACTGAAGGCTACAATCCTTGATCTTCATCAGCAAGTCCTTCAAGGTCTCCCCACTAACAACAAGCAAAGTGGGGTCATCTGGATACCGCCAAGTTGTTAATAAACCTTTCTTTAATCCTGAGGACAGACTCGTCTTCATATAATCCAGCTTCTTTGATGATTTGCTCAGTTTCATGTATAGTGAGAGGATATAATCCTGGCACACATCTTTCCTGATTTTAAACCATGCAGTATTCCCTTGCTCTGTTTGCACAGCTGCCTCTGGGTCCATATACAAGTTCTGAATGAGCACAATGAAGCATTCCGGAATTGCCTTTCTTCTCAAGGTTACCCACAATTTATTATGGTCCACATAGTCGAATGCCTTTGCATTCAATGAAACACAAGTAAACATCTTTCTGGTATTCTCTACTTTCAGCCAAGATCCATCTGACATCAGCTTTGATATCCCCTGTTCCATGTTCTCTTCTGAATCCAGCCGGAACATCTGGCAGTTCCCTATCAATGTGTTGCTGTAACTGTTTTGGCTGATCGAAAGGAAAACTTTACTTGGGTGCGCTCTCAATGACATTATTGCTCTACAGGTTGAGCATGCTGTTGAGTCTCCTTCCTTAGGAATGGGAACAAATATGGAGCTCTTCCAGACAGTTGGCCAGGTAGCTGTCTTTCAAATTCCCTGGCATAGATGAGTAAGCGCTTTCAGTGCTTTTCAGCTTGCGGAAACATTTCAATAGGTATTCCATCAATCCCCGGAGCCTTGTTTTTGACAAATGCATTCAGTGCAGCTTGAACTTCATCCTTCAGCACCATTGGTTCTTGTTCATATGCTGCCCCCTGAAATGGTGAACCGTCGACTAGTTCTTTCTGGCACAAAGACTCTGTGTATTCTTTCCATCTTCACTTGATGTTTCCTCTATCATTCAATATTTTGCCAATAGAATCTTTCAAAATTGCAATTTGAGGCATGAATTGTTTTCTTGAGTTCTCTCAGTTGCAGATATGCTAAGCATGTTATTCCCTTTGGGGCATTACAGGTCCTTGCACATTTTGTTAAACTATTGGGCTTTGTCTTCTCGAGCTGCCCTTTGAAATGTTCTATTCAGCTTGTGGGCTCCAATCTTTCTTCGATTTGTTTTAGCTACTCCATGATTAACAGCAAGTTTCAGAGTCTCTTCTGACATCTACTTTGATCATTCATGAAGCTCATTATGTACTACAAATGGTTACTTTCCCCTAGGCACTGAGGAAAGAGTGTGAATTATATAGGCCATCCCCTTGACCTACTCCCAGTCTAGTAGGAAACACAAGAACGCAATGGCCATATCATGAATCTGATCTGCGAATCCCTCCTGCTGTCCATGTCTCTTACCACTCACACTTTGCCAACCCTCTAACAAAGGTGCTAGG